AACTATCAGAGTTAACTACTATGGTTACATACATACTAGGTGTTATTTTCTTTCCTACCCAACTTTTGTTTTCACTGGAATTAATAACTGCCTTGTTTTAATTTGCTTGGTTTTTCTGGACACCCCAGACTCTCCACCAACTGTCTTAAACAGTGATTCTCCAAGTGTGGTCTGTGGGCTCCTGGGGGTCCCTAAGACCCTTGCAGGGACCTGTGAGGTGGAAACTCTTCTCGCGGCAGTACCAAGGCATTATCTGCCCCCTTCTGTGCGCTGGCCTTTACACTGATGGCACAGAAGCGCTGGTGGGGAAAGCTGCGGCTGCTTCGGCATGAATCAGCCCCTGGCCACGAAGGGTGCCAGGGGTCAGGGCACTTATCACCACCTCACACTCGCAGGGAGAACAAGCTAGGTCACTTAAGAATGTTTTTAATGAAGCAGGAAAAGTTATTAACTTTATTATGCCTCAACCCTCTAGGGCTTGTTTTTATCGCTTATGCTGAATGCCCGAGCATGATGACTATCTTGAGGAAAAGCACTTATGTAACTAACTGAGCTGCAAGCTGAACTGACTGCTCTTTTCCACCGGCTACCATTTCTACTCGAGGGAATGACCGACACACACGCTATGGTATCTGGCACTTCAGCGACAACAACTGCCACTATTTATGGCCAATGATAAAATGGGAACTTTCACAAAAGTTAGAATTTTGGAAACCTTGTATCTGACACACGACACACACATTTCCTGATGCTTAAAGACTTGTCTGAGATCAGTAGTGATATTAACAAATGTGCTTTTTCCATATCATATCATGAAATGTGGACACATTTAAAAGATCAGCAAAACAAGCCAATATTTTTAAATGCTCTAAATTTATAAATACATAATACAAAATCATGCATGGGTGAAAGATCCATTCAGAGTGTAAAAGAGACCAATAGATTTTAATGTAACCCAGTAAAAAATTCAACTGATGTTATATTAGTCTGCTAGGGCTGCCATAGCATACCACAGGCTGGGTGGTTGGAACACAGACATTTACTTCTCTCACTGCTGGAGGCCAGAAGTCCAGAGTCAAGGGGGCCGCTGATTTGGCTTCTCCCGAGGTCTCTCTCCCTGGCTTGCAGCTAGGTGGTCACCTTCTCCCAATGGCAGGGAGCAAGTAAGCTTCTTCTTATAAGGTTTCTTCTTACAAGGATACTAATCTGATCAGATCAGGGCTCCACCCTTATGACCCAATTAGCTTTAATTATCTACTCACAGGCCCTGCCTCCAAATACAGTCACACAGAGCATCAGGGCTTCAACACAGGAATCTGGGGCACAGATACGGTTTCAGATTCTAGGTTGGAATTAAGTTGTAAGAAACTACTGTCAAAAACCAGCGTAGTACGAAGATAAATGAATGTCCACAAGTATTTGAAAAAAGCTCTTAAAACACCCCTTCCTTTCCCACCGCCTGTCCGTCTGAAGCCAGATCTTCTTCACCTGCGTCAGCCAGAAGCGCTCACCCCCGCAGGCGCAGGCTGGATGGAGAAGCACGAGTGAGGACCCAGTTTAACGTCTTCTCCGAGACAGATGCGAGACTTACAACACTGCAAAGCAGCTTTTCTCCTCGTTTTGTTTTAGGACATAGTTGCTTTTCACAAAATGTTATTTATCTTAACATATAATGAATTGAACTTATTATTTTAGTTAAAGTAAGTAAATGGCCCTGGCTGGTGTGGCTCAGTGGACTAAGTGCCGGCCTGCGAACCAAAGGGTCGACGGTTGGGTTCCCAGTCCGGGCACATGCCTGGGTTGCGGGCCAGGTCCCCAGTAGGGGGCGCGTGGGAGGCAACCACACATTGACGTTTCTCTTCCTCTCTTTCTCCTTCCTTTCCCCCCCTCTAAATTTAAAAAATCTATGAAAAAATAAGTAAACGTTTACAATCGAATCAGTTCTGATTTCCAACAGCGTATGCAGTAGTAATCCACATGAAGCTCTCTGAGGGTCTCAATCGTTTTTTCAGTGCAGCAGGTCCCGAGACCAACAAGCCCGAGGACCGCAGGTCTCCATCATCTCCCAAGGAACTCGGCACGCAGGTGCTCCGACGATTTCATGTGCCCACAGGCTTCCCTCCTGGGGCCCTCGGACCGGCTCCCGCTGCGGCCGCTGCCTTCTGCGCTGTGCAGGGGCGGTGCCCTGGCCACCTTCCTCACCGTCACCGGGTCAGGTGTCAGCCAATTTCGGCCTGCGGGCCAGATCCAGCCCGCCACCTGTTTGCTAAGCAAGAGTAAACTGGGACAGAGCCACGCTCATTCGTCTAGGTGTCGTCTTCTTTCTGCTACAACAGCAGGGTTGAGTAGCTGCGACAGAGACTGAATAAATATAACGCTAAAAATATTAACTGTTTGATCCTCTATGGGAAAAGTTTGCTGACTTGTGATTCAGCCAATTTTTTTACTTCTTTCCTGAACCCCATGTCTTCCTCCTTCTTGATTTACTCCTTAATTTTGGTGAAGCACATCTTCTGGTAGCTTCTTGAGAAAGGGGGTATGAAAGGTACATTTTTTTGAGATCTTGCACATCTGAAAATGTCCTTTTCTACTCTCATGTTTTACTGATATTCAGCTGGGTACAGAATTTTAGCATAGACATCAGAGTCTTTCAGAATTAGAGAGTTTTGCCTCATTGTCATCTGGCTTCTAGAATTATGATAGAAAAGGTATTAAGTTAGTTTGAGTTCCAATCTACTGTATGTGACTTTTTCTTTAACCCTCAGAAGCCTATGGGGCCTTTTCTGTGTCCTTAGTGTCCTGAAATTTTATGACCATGTGGCTTGGGGATGATGTGTCTCCATCCGTGTTCCGGGGGGTGGGCTCTTTCAGTCTAGAAAGTCACCCCTCCAGTGGGGGCGGGGCATTTCCTTGAATTATTTCTTTCCCCTCTGTTGTTGTTGGGCTTTTTTTTTGCGGGGGGGGTGGTCTCTATTTTTGGAATATTTATCGAACAGATGCTGGGCATCTTGGACTGGTCCTATAATTTTCTTCTTCTCGTTCTGGGATAATTGTTCTACTTCATCTATCTCCACCAGGAGTTTGAATTTTCTTCATTTCTTCTATCTTGTTTTTAATTTCCAAGAGCTCTTTTTCTCTCACTGAATGTTCTTTTTTTTTTTTTTTAAAGTATTTAGATCTTGTGAGATAGATACTTTGTTTTAAAAACAACTTTCTGGGGACATAAACAATAGTTTCGCTTCCCTGCATAGTCTGTTTTGTTCTCCTTGCCTTTTTTGTTTTGGCTTCCCTGTACCACGCTAGAGGCTTTCCTCTTGGTTGTCTCTTCACAGGTGGAAGTGCAACGCTAAAAGACTGCTTTTTAGTGAAACCCTAAAAAGCTCGGCGAGTGCGAGCGAGGCTGCCTGTCTGTCAGCCTTACTGTGGGGAGGTCGGCTGGGCTGGGGGTTCGGAAACCCTGAGGTTACTACCGTCAGACCTGCTTCACGACTCGGACTCCTCGGGGGATTTCCCCACCTCCCGACTCGGGGTGCAGGCTTGGCTACCAGAATTCGGGGGTTGGCTGGGGAAAGAAAGTCGGGGCTCTTAACATGCAGGGTACCCGTGCTCACTGAGCCTCCGCTAAGGGACCGCCACCGATGAGTGTGTTTGGTGTCCCTTTACTTCAAGCAGCCTTTACTGTATCCCATCCAGAGGATACATTTCTGGTCGTCTTCTCAGTTATGGGAGGGACCATCTTTTAAACGAACTTTCAATCGGCCGAGTCAGCCTTCTCGTCACCTGACCCTCTCTCTCCCACTCCACAGGGCCGCCCGGGGCCCTCAGTCCCTGGGTTCCTTCAGGGCCCTGCTGGGCGCACGGGGCTGCCCCTTGGCTCTCAGAGCCGCTGGCCCGGGGCCCGGCCCTCTCAGAGCTGCTAAGTCAGTTACCACTCATCCATCTGCTTCCCGGCTTCCAACACATTGTTGCCGTTGTCTCCTCTCCCGTTCTCTCAGTCCTTGCGGGTTTCTGTCTTAAAAAAAAATCTCCTCACTGTTGTTTTAGTGAGGTTTTGGGAGGGAATGAAAGCAAATGTGGGTATTTGATCCTCCATCTTTATTTGGAACCTCTTTACAATTAAATATCCTTTTTTTTTTTTTAACTTTCATTTAACTTTACAGCGTAAACATTTCCCATGGTCTTACATGGTCTTTGTAAAAGCTGCCGGACATTCCACCGAGTCGGAACCGTGGCTTGCTCAGTCACTCCCCTAGTTTGAGTGTTCAGAGTTGTTTCTGTTGCGGGGAGGGAGCTGGTGTATCCTCAAGGCGTCTTGGATTCATTTGTCCCACTCACTCCCTCTCCTTAGGGACTGCTTGCTGACCTTCCTCGCCGCTCTGTTCATCACCTTGGCCTCGACCGTGGCACTGCCTCGTGCGGGCCTAATGCACCTTAAACCACCCACCAGGTCACCTGCACAGTGACGCGGCACTCATCTTTCCAAATGTCCCCTTTCTCATGACACTTCAGGGGAACCCCAACATCTACAATTCACTTGTGATTGACACTGGTGTGAGGCTCCCCCTAGTTCGACTCTCCCCGCCCCCGCCCTCCCCCACCCCCCCTCGAGACCCCTTCCCTGAATGTCCTCCTGCAGGCAGCACCTGCTGTCCTCACTGCGGCTCAGGCTGCTCCTCTCGCCACTGCCAACCCACATGCGCCCTCACTCACACACCCTCTCTGCTGCACTAAGCCTCCCCATGTGGCCTTGCTGACACAGTAGCTTCCTTCCCCTAATAGGCAAGAAACAAGGGACTCATTTCTGAAAGCTTAGGGTCGGTCTTGCCTTTCAAATGGACTAACCACTTTTCAGAGGCAGAAGCTCTTACATGCCTGTCTCTATGGCAGCTGCCCCCGTCCCGCCCTCACGTACCACCATGGGATTCAGCCCAGCACCAGGCACACAGTGGGGGCTCGACAGGGACTCAATGAGTGGAACGGATGCAACTGTAAGTCGTTACCTTGCCGTCCGAGGTCAGCGTCCAGATCACGGAGAAGGTCAGTTTGTCGGTCATGGGGTTGAGGCTGCACAGCTCCTCACACAGCATTCTGGGGAGCATGGGCACTACCTGCGAACAGAGAACAGGCCCGTGAGCACCGCTCGGCAACCCGCAGGACTCTACACAGGCTTTGCAGCATCACGGGCAGCAGAGCTCTGGTGAGCGGCTTGCGCATCCAGGGCGCTGAAGGTGGAGGCAGCTCTTTTCCCCGAAGACTCGCTCAGAAAGACTCACTCTTTTCCATGAGCCTCTATAAACAAATGGGAATGTGAAATGAAAGGTATGAAGAATTGAAAACACGGAAAAAATACTTTAGATCAGTGCAAAACTACTGCATTTTACTATAATACTAAAACTGAAGCTCTAGACTCAGCAATGAATTGTACTTGAGGATAGGACTATTCCAGCTGAACTATATACTTAAAAACCCAAGGTCTTACATTTAAGTCATTAATTCATTTTGAGCTAATTTTTATGCATGGTGTTAAGTCAGGGGTCCACCTTCATTTTTGTTGCATGAGGCTGCTCAATTTCCCCAACTTTTACTGAAAGAAACTATCTTTTCTCCATTGTATGTCCTTCGCACCCTTGTCAAAGATCAGTTGAAAATATATAAATATATGGGTTTATATCTGGGCAGTCCATTCTGTTTCATTTGTCTATGTGTTCATTTATGCTAGTGCCATACCATTTTGATTGTTACAGCTTTTTAAAATATTGTAAACTCAGAAATGTGATACCTCTAGCTTTGTTCCTCTTTCTCAAGACTGCTTTGGCTCTTCAGGGTCTTTTGTAGTTCCAAACGATTTTTAGGATAGTTTATCTTTATTTTTGTGAAAAATTTGACTGGAATTTTGATAGGGATTATACTGAATTTGTAGATCACTTTGGATTGTATGGACATTTTAACAATATTAATTCTTCCAACCCAAGAATGGGCCATCTTTCCATGTATTTGTGTCTTTGTCAATGTCTTTCATCAATGGCTTATAGTTTTCATTGTACAGGTCTTTCACCTCCTTAAATTTATTCTTAAGTATTTCATTGTTTTTAATGCTATTGTAAGTGGAATTGCTTGCTTTATTTCTACATCACCTCAGGTCTGTTATGATGGCTATTATCAAAAAGGCAAGAGATAACAAATGTTGGTAAAGATGTGGAGGAAAAAAACCCCTTGTACATTGTTGGTTAGGAATATAAGTTGGTATAGCTACTGTGGAAAACAGTATGGAGCTTCCTTTTTTTAAAAAAAGATTTTATTTATTTATTTTTAGAGAGGGAAGGGAGGGGGAGAGAGAGAGAGAGAGAGAGAGAGAGAGAGAGAGAGAGAAACATCAATGTGCGGTTGCTGGGGGTTATGGCCTGCAACCCAGGCACGTACCCTGGCTGGGAATCGAACCTGGGACACTTTGGTTCCCAGTCCGCGCTCAATCCACTGAGCTATGTCAGCCAGGGCGTTGGAGCCTCCTTTAAAAATGAAAAATAGAATTACTATATGATCCAGCAATCCCACTTCCGGGTATGTCTCTGAAGGAAGAAGAGTCAGTATCTCGGACGGCATCTGCACGCCCACGTTCATTACAGTGTTATTCACAGTGGCCAGACATGGGGACAGTGTAAGCGTCCGCTGATGAATGGGTTAAAAAAATGAGATATACACATGTATGTGTGCATGTGTGTATCTCGGATGAATGGCTAAAGAATGTGAGCTGCATGCATGCACACACACACACACACACACACACACAGAGGAATGCTCTTCAGCCATAAAAAGGCGGAAATCCTGCCATTTGTGACAACACAGATGAACCTGGAGGGCATTATGCTAAGTGAAATAAGCCAGACAGAGAAACACAAGTACTATATGGCATCATGTATATGTTAAATCTAAAAAGAGCCTATTCCATAGAAACAGAAACAGAGAGTAGAATGGTGGTTGCTGCCAGGGGCTGGGTGGCCGGATGGGGAGACAGGAATAGAGAGATGTAGGTCAAAGGGCATACACTTTCAGCTATCAGATGAATACATGCTGAGGATCTAAGGTACAGCATGGTGACTACAATTAATAACAAGATAAAGCATACTTGAAATTTGCTGAGAACTTATCTTACCACACACAAGGAGTTAATGACATGAGGTGATGGATGTGTTAATTATCTTGATCTTGGCAATCAGTTCACAATGCATATGTGTAGTAGACTGCTCTGTGTGGCGTGGGCCCAGCTCCCACTTGGAGATGCACAGGACCCACGCCCACAGATAGGTTGTCTGGTGGGGAATCAGGCCTTCAATATACTTAGGCCGCTATGAGTCTTGCTTTTTGCTAAAACTCCCTCACCCTGATTTGAGGACATTAACTGCAAGGCAACTTCCTAAAATCCATGCTAAACCTTCCAAGGATGAGTGTAACTGGTCCAACCCCTTTTGCTTTTTTATTTGCAAATATCCGTCTTCTGTGATGTGATTAGCAGCATCCTCTCCTTTGTTTTCTGTATAAGGTAACCACCTAAAGCGAGTCTGTGCATAGTTAATGAGGACCTTCTTGTAACGAGCCCAGTAAGACAATAAAAGCTCATTGGAGCGAGGGCTGAGGCTTTTGCTCCCCTTGAGAGAACAGCCATGCTGTCCCTTTTCCTCCACCAGCTTCGGGAATCCGTGTGAATGTCTCACTTCATCCATAATGACGGGGACCCCACCAGCCAGGGTCGGCATCATATATGTATATGAAATCATCTCATTGTACAGTTTAAATATATACAATTATATTTGTCAATGATTGTTCAATAAAGCTGGGGGAAAATATCTAAGGGCTGAGTATAAACTCGTGACAAGAGTAAAACTGCTGAACCGATACTTCGGAAACTGAAAATAACACAACTGCCCAAATCACGCGTTGGAACATGAACACATAGTCCAGTGAGGTATCCCTGCAGGGTTCGGAAGTCCAGGTTCCCTAGGTGAACACTGTGGTCAACTAGGCACTCGTTTTGCAGTGTTTTGAGCCTAAATCATTTCTTCCCTTTACTGATCTTTCTATCCCATAATGAACTGATTCAGTGGTGTACCCTCTTTAATTAAAAAAAAAAAATTCTCCTCAATTTACTTTCAAAGGATGACTTATAGCCATCCCAGAATGTTACGTGCCCGGGTCTCCTGAAGATGCTTCAAACTCTCCCTCCTTCCTTCGAATGCATCCCTCCTCCCAGTCTTCTGGGCTAACGGCATCACCACCCGCTGCCCCCAAACTAAAACCCGCGCACCGAGAGCATTCACTCAGCGCACCGCAGACCTGCTGGATCTGCAGCGAAGCGCAGGCACCGCGCTGCTCCGGTGACACAGCTGAGGAGTGATGGGTAGGAGGGGCAGCAACGCACCAGCTGAACAGAGGTGGCCAGTTAAGCTTCTGTATCCGCAACAGCAAATACACCCCGGTGGTTTCTTATTTTGTGTGAAGTGTTTGGACCCGTACCACTTCAGTACAGTATATAAGCTTCGGTATGGAAAAGTGAGTTCTAGCACTCACAGCCTACAGCAGTGACAAATAATTAAGAACTAACCATATGGCATTACTTGGCATTATTCTAAAGGATGCCGTATCTTTTTAATACCTACGTAAAATCTAATGCCCAAGTGAAAATGTCTGGTAACAGCTTTTGTAAGGTTATAACCACTTTTGAATTTTTTTCCTCATCATTGCTTTTCCACCGTGTGTCCAGATAATACTGTATTTTCTTTAACATATTTAATATTAAAATGTGATCTAAATACACACAACATGTAACATTTCCTTGCATGTATCAAGCATTATACAAAGTAATACATTTTTACCTGTATAAACATACTGAACAAAATGGAGCAAGCTTCAGTACCATTTTGTGTCATGACTGAATTGTAAAGGCTTACATAATTCCAGCCCTTGGACTTGCTGAAGCCGTGACCCCTCCGTGTGACTGTATTTGGGGGTGAGGTCTTCAGGAGGTAACCAGGGTTAAACGAGGTCATAAGGGGGGGCCCCTGATCCGATAGAAAGAGATAACTCCCTCCCTGCCCAGCACACACACACAAAAGGCCAAGTGAGGACAAAGCTGTCTGCAGGCCAGAAAGAGTCCTTAGTAGGAACCAACTTGGCTGGCACCTTCATCCGGGACGCACAGCCTCCAGAGCCGTGAAACAGTGAGTGCGCGCTGCGGAAGCTGGGTCCACGGCACAGCGCACTGCACGCAGCCCGGGCTGAGGGGGGCAGACCAGCTCCAGCCTGTGGGGGTGTGCACGGGGGCTCTTCTCTGGGCTGCGCTGTCAGAAAATTAAGTGTAAGGACTGTATTTTGGTAGCAGGCTGCTCACCCTGCAAGCCTGTAGTCCAAGTCTCAATACCTTGTTTACAGAGCGTCAGGATTTCTTCTAAGTGTGCAAGGCAGTGCCTGACTGTGAGCCACCGAGCTGAGCATCTGAGAAGGTAACACATCTCCTGGCGTCACGTGTTAGTGTTTGTGAAAAGGAAGTCACTGCGACTAAAAACGATGTGGTGCCCGGGACTGGACCCCGGACAGAAAGAAGACATTATATAGTGTGGATCTGAGTTAACAGTAATGTTCTGATGTCCACTTCTTAGTTACAGCAAATGTACCCTTGTAATGTTAAGATGTTTACAGTGAGGGAGCTGGGCGTGGGACCTCTCTGTACTGTTACTGCAACTTCTCCGTAAATCTAAACTTACTTCAAAATGAAAGTGCTTATTAAAAAGAAAGCCGCTGTTTTTATTGGTTGACTTCCCAAGTGCCATACATTTAGATGTGGAAGAAACTTATGTTAATCAATACAACCAGGTCTGTTTTTATATATTGGAGTTTGGCATTAAGATTTTATTTACGAAAAGGCAAATTATCTTTAAAAAACCATTAACCAATAGAGTGAAGTCCAGACTCACCTAAAAAAAAAGTCCAAGGACCATTAGCCAATAGTGAAGTCCACACTCACCATCGGCACCATGCAGGGAAGAGAGCAAAGGCTCTGAAGCCAGACAGACGTGGGGTCTGGCCCTGGGGTCCGCCCCTTCTGTACAAGTTGGGC